TCCTTTTGTTTGTATGTTTGTTTATTTGTTTCTTTCTTTCTGTCTTCATATCCCATCCGTTTCTTTCTTTCTTTCTTTTTCGAAAACTTTCCTTTTCTTTTAATTCCTTTCCTTTTTTTCTTTCTTTCGATCTTTCTTAATATCAGCATCTTTTGTTTGGTTGCTTCTTTGTGTGTTTTTAATATCCCATCCCTTTCTTTCCTTTTACCTCCTTTACATCCTTTCTTTCTTTCTTTCTTTCTTTCTAGGCTTCTATGGCCTTTTTGTTTTTGATCCATCCCTTCTTCCCAGCATCCCTCATTGAGTTAACAAGTTAATTTTGAAAGCCATGACAACGAGATTGCATTGAAATCTCGCGAAGTCCCGCTACGATTGTGATGTGCTAGCTGATAGGCAAAGCTTCAGTAATAATAGTAAAACACTTTGTTGAACAATAGTCAACTGGCAAGTCATTCAAATGCAACTGTAAATTCGCCGTAACGTTAGTAATGATGGGGAAAATGAGGATGCTCGTTGTTTAGATCACAACGAGAAACATGATATTGGTATTATGAGGAAGAATAACTGGACATTAATAGTGGTATAGGTAATATTAGCCGTTGATTTATAAGGAAACATTTGGCAATAATTGACGGAGAAGTTAGTGATGATATTTATGAAACTATTTTCCTAAAAGAGTTTTTTCAGAAAAATACGTTCCTCAAGTCCACTAACGCTTGCACAATTGATGGCGGTTTCATTTCTAACCTTTTGTTCGATGTGGTGTATTAATATCAACATCTTGATTATGTCATTATTATCTTTTCGAGTTACAAGTGCTATCCATTTCAATTGTTGCTGCTGTTGAAAGTCCTCAATGATGTGATTTATGTTGTTTGGTACAGTTCTTTGTGATTGTGCAGCGCCTGCCGAGGAGGATTGAGGAGGGATGGTTTTCACTGAGGCATACGCGATAGCACGCGTTCGAAGTCATTTTAACCATTCTTCTGAGAAAGCGGTTGTATACAGTTTTCATTTTTGATATTTCTGAAAGATCTTGGCGCCATGAATGTCATCCATATCAAAGCATCGATCCCACGAGACTATTTAAGAACATGGCATGAGTTTTTATGCTAATGTTTTAGTTCTGTGGCAACTTGCAGTGTTGGATGAAACTACCTCTAGCTCAGCCTATTTTATGTTCACTTTCCTTATCTTTTACACTAGATTTGTTATAACTGATCCTTACACTGAGGTATTTGAAGTGTTTAGGATTTACTAATTCCACATCCTGAATTTGTATGATAGGTTCAGGGTAGTTTCCATCACTACTGTTATTCCAATTCCAGATCATAATTTCTCTTTTTGAATGGTATTGGAATATTTGGTAGAGGATTTTGATTATTTTTTAGGTTCTGATCTGGCATCTCGTCTACAGTCACTTTCTCGCAGACGTGATGTGGCTTCCCTCTGTCTTTTTTCTACAAATATTTTCATGGCAACTACTCTGACGAGCTACTTTCACTGGTGCACCAACTGCATGAATTTAAGCATGCTATTAGGTTGGCATCCCGTCCCACTCTTTCATTGTTGAAACAGTTAAATATAGCCCGTCTCTTCTACTCAAACAGCTTCTTATCTCGCACTTCCCAACAGTGGAACTTCCTTCCTCCTACTTGCTTCTCTGATAGCTATAACCTTCAATTATTCAAATGCCTCGATCTTGATCCCCGTTCTTGTCTATATCCTTTCCTCAAACACTCCTCTTTACTCCTGCTCTCACACTCTGTAACCTCTTGCGTGCTAGTGGCACTCCCGGCTTGCTTGGGGTGAAATACTTAAAAAACAAAACAAAAAAACTGCAAATCACATGACAATAACACTTAAAATTATTCACTGTTGCGAATAATGATGATGATGATGACAAATGACAGATGTGCACTTTATTTAAAAGCCTCGACTTGACTTTTTAAGAGCCGACATTCTATGGCATATGCAATAAAGCTTAATTCTTAAGAGGACACTATAAGGACTTTAAGTGCCAGATATAAAAGAAAAAGTTCTCAGATCGACCAAAGAACCTTTTAGACATTTGGTCATTTTTAGTGCATTTTCATAATGGTGGATACAAGTATTGATAATCTGTTAATGTAAAAGTGTTGGTTCCACTCTATTGGAAATGAATGTTAAAAGCACCCCCTCCCCAAATATATAGAGAAATCGTACAGGTGTATGCTGGGATTTGTCTCCCTGACTAATTAAAATTAACCATTTCTCGGTCTCATTCATTATATTTTTTGTTTTGTTTTTAAGTCTTTCTTTTTTTTAAGTTGCTACAATCACTTTTTTTAAAGCATTTCACCCCTAGCAAGGCGGGAAGCCACTAGCCCGCAAGAGGTTGCAGAGGATTTCGAGCGAGAGCAGATAGGAATGATAGAGGAGAGGATGAGGAGAAGGATAGTGGATAGATCAAGGCAACTGGTGATGTCGATTGATATTACATTTGAATAGTTGGAGATTAAAGGGAAACAAGAGTAGAGAAGGGAGTTCCACAGGCGAGAGGTGCGAGAAATGAAGCTATTGAAGTAGAAGAGACGGCATTTAACAGTTTCAACAGTGAAAGGGTGAGAGCGGGATGCCAGCCTCATAGGACACTTGAATTCGCGAAGTCTTGGAACCAGGGCCAATTATATTGCATATCCGTCTCTGGATCTTGTCAAGAACCTGGAGGCAAACAGAAGGGGCTCCAAAACATATATGGCAGCAATACTCCATGCAAGGTTGATTTGTAGATTCGAAGGACCGATTCCGGGGAGAAAATTTTCCTGGCGCGGCGCAGGGAGCCAACTTTCCTTGCGGTGGACGAAGCAATTGACTCAATGTATTTGTTCCATCTCAGGTCAGTAAAAACGTGAGACCGAGAAGACGCAGAGAGGTGCTCTCGAGAAGTTGAGCGTCAGACATTCTAATGGGGTGGTGGGCAGGGAAGGTTCTCTGTGGAGATTAATAGAGAGCAGTTTTGTTTTGGTGACGTTAAAGTTAACCAGCCAATTCCTGTCCCAGTTCACAACCGATTGGAGGTCCTTTTCGAAACGAACGGCCAGGTTAGTTTTGTCAACGAAACTAGATTTGTTTTTGGGGGAGGAGTAAATTGTAGTTTCGTCCGCGTAGATGCCCACCTGGGAATCAATGGCGTCAGGAAGATCGTTGATGAAGATAAGGAACAGAGTAAGGCCTAGGATGGAGTCATGGGGAACACCTGCGTTCGTGAGATAGGAGCTGGAGAAGAATTCGTTGAAAACGACCTTCAATTCACGGTTTGACAGAAATGATCGTATTAAGTCAAACAATCGACCTGTAATACCATAACCCTGGAGATTGCGCAAAAGGCCGGAATGCTAAACCCTATCAAACACTTTGGAGATGTCTAGGGCCACAGCACGAGCTTCTCCATTATTCTGAAGAGCTTGGTAGACCTTTTCCGTGATGGCCGTAAGCACATCAGCTGTAGATCGGGCAAAGCAGAACCCATATTGCTTGTCTGAGAGCAGATCATGGGATGTAAGGTGGTTAACCACTTCGACGTTGATTAAAGCCTCGAAGACATTGCCGAAGAGGGTAGGAGACTGATAGGATGGTAATTAGAAGATTAGATTTATTTTTTGTTACACATTTTACCTTCTAAAATTTAATTTTATTTTTTGTTTAAATATTACTTTTAAATTTTAAGCATACTTACTTTGTATTTAAAGCATCCTAGTATATTTGAGTATTTGAAAGCAATATTATAATGGTAAACAAACTAGGCTTACGGCCACATCATTTTGAAACACCGCTTCCCGTACGATCAACGAAGTTAAGCAAAGTCGATATGGATGACCGATTGAGAATATCAGGTGCTTTAAGCCTGGATGTGCGGGTGGTGTAATGAATAATTGCGCGGAATTGTTAATTGGGGAGCCGAGTTTCAATTATCGATGGGTTAGTTATATTCACTTAGAGGCAAATACTCTTGGGAAAGGTATAAGGCCACCTTGTCTCTCTCCAGTTATGTGTTAATTGTATCACTAAACTGTTATTATCGCAAAAAATTCTTACAATATAATCATATTTTCTGACATTAAATAACCTGCAAAGGGTTGATAAGCTGTAAAAAATAAGTCAATCAATAGTACATAAAGTAGCTTATATATATATATATATATATATGTATGTGTGTGTGTGTGCGCGTGTGTGTGCGTGCGCGCGGGCGTGTGTGTGTGTGTGTGTGTGTGTGGGAAAGAACAGGTTAGGTAAATAATCCGGGGTTCTTTATTATTGTTGTTTTTATTTAAAAAAAAACAGTGCTCCATACAAAGTATAGCTTAAATTATAATTAATTTTTAAAAAGGAATCATATTTTTTAAAAATATATATATATATATATATATATATATATATATATATATATATATATATATATATATATATATATATATTATTTTAATTTAGATATTAAAATAAAAATATGTTGAAATCCCTACACAGTAGCTTTCGTGTTTCGATACTACGTTGTGCTTCTTCAGGCAAACAGCATGCTAAAACAGACAGTATTTATTTGTGTGTTTATATATATATATATATATATATATATATATATATATATATATATATACTAGTAGCGATAATCCCAAGGAAGGTATTAATCCAGGGAGAGGTCAATGTAGACAGACTTACAGAGATTACTACTACTACTACTACTAATAATAATAATAATAATTAAGAAAACCTTAAAGATCCATAATGGTCATAAATTATTTCGTTAATATCTATATATTCATCTCTTCAGACCGAAATGTCTTAGTAAATAGACTCTATATACTAAGAGATTTCTGTTTGAAAAAAGAGGATTATATAGATATATAATATATATGTATTATTATTATTATTATTAATATATATATATATATATATATATATATATATATATATATATATATATATATATATATATATATATGAGAGAGAGAGGAGTATCACTG